TATATATATTTTAATAAAAAACGTAACAAATAAAAAAAAAAGAAAACTCCCACATCGGTAATATTCATCTATCACTTTGAGTGTTTTGCCACAGATGGCGCCTCCAGTGAAAAGCGCAGATTTTTAATTTCAAAAATATAACAATTTCATTAGACCTCAAGCACTCACAAAAAATAATTTTTAAGGGAATATTATAGGGGAAGTGAACATAATTACATAGATAATTAACTAATAAACATTTTCAGAATCTTTTAAACGATGTTGTTAAGGAATAACACTTTATTCAGTTCATTCTATGCTTACACATAATGTAAATTAGATATATATATGTATATGTATAAATAACTATAATTCATTACAGAAAGAAGCAATAAATACATGCCACAGTTGCAAAGTACAATAACATCTTATTATGTAATTCAAATGGAAACAATATACAGAGAGTACCAACAATTACTTAATAATTTATTATTATCTATGAATCGAAGAAATATTTAAAGACGTTACGATATAGCAACCAAAACGTATCGTTACAACTTTCGCTTTTATCAATTTCATGTGTTTTATTATCTAGTGGTAAATCTAGAATTCAACAGAACGCCTATTCACTTATTTGTTATTAAGTTCCAGGTCCGATTGATGTAGCCGACGATGCGATGTTAACTGTAATTAATAACACAGGTATTAATTTCTTCAAGTACCATAACCTTCGGATATTCTTAAAAACAAGAAACAAAAGTGGGGGAATATTTTTTTTGAACTTTCCATTTGCCTTTTTTGGTCTTCTATTCATGTAACGTAAACTCAATAGGAAAAAAGTTCTGTAACTTGTAATACAAAAGTTTACAATAAGAAGACAATTATATTCGCAATATAAATAATGTGTACAAAATTCTATTTTATATTTGTATATTTTCCACTTCTTTTCTTATGTTGAGATTAATTTACTGATTATTAATTTATTTTTATTCCTTGTTAAATGTAGGTGTCTATAATAGGATTAATAATGTATATACCCATTGTCCAACGATGAACGATAATGTGTAAGGATTGACTTTCAAAAACTCCTGACGACGTGTCTGAGGAAGAAGCATCTTATCTTGTTCCCCAAACTTTTGCAGAGGCATAGCGAAGTCATTGAAACGTACAGTATCTAATTCTTGATTCCGGTCACTCGTTGTCCCTTCGCTTTCTGAAAAGTCGTTATCTCGCAAATGTGGATCGAATCTTTTCCCGTGACCACCATAGCAAGAGTGACCAAACACTGAGCAACCACCTGTAAGAAAAAAGGTATTAAAAAAATTATTAATATTTATATTTGTCGGTATTAAATGTTGGAATACTTTGTGCGACATTAGAATATTTTAGTAAAGATAATGTAAAATAATAATATTCGTTATTACGATTTATTAAAAGTAGAATACAGTGAAAATATAGTTATAATATATAATATAGTACAAATATAGTATAAATATAAAAAATATAAATATATAAAATGCAGAAAATATATTTTAAAAATCGTATTCTATATCTAGATTGTAAACATTGTGTCTAACATGAAAATACTAATTTTCAATGTTGTAGACACATATTCAGCAATTTATTCAATTTTTCTGTATATAACACACTTCAACTTGCTGTTGAAGTGAAGTCAACACACTTGCTGTTCAAATATCTTTTTGCTGCATTATTTTATTATTAGTTACAAATCACAAATTCTAAATTCATTAATAAAATTAATGCCTCAAACGATGTATTGTTCTCATCCCAATAAAATTGAAAGTATAATAATTGCTAAAGGTAATTCAATATTGTGCTTTCAATTACAATTAACTCGCAAGAATCAAATAATTAATTTATTTCATCTGTTTCTCAAGGTAAAACACAGACACGACCATCCACCACGAATAAAATAATATTCTCCATTTAAAAGTCGAAATAATGTATTCGCAAACCATAGAAATCAAATTTTACATAACAATGGACACGAGTGTAATTGTTAAACGCGATGCACAGACAGAAATGCGGAACGCGACGGAAGCCGCTCATTCATAGTTAAAATAATGAATCGATCATCGGGCGTCGAATGAACAGGGCCGCTTCACGCGACCGGATAAATTGAGAACTAAATCGAAAAAAAATAGTAAAGCCTCAAATAAAAACGTGATTCATTCCACGCAATCGGCGAAGGAAAGCGCGGCAAAAGTAAAAATGGAAAAGAATGAACGATATCGTCGCACGTGAATTCATTCACTCAATTATTATCGTGAATAAAGCCGAGGCTTAATACGTTCGCGGCCAGCGTCACATATTTGTGATGTTCAACATTTTATATCTGGCATAAAGAAAAACTAAAGTAAATTACTATCACGCATATTTGTATCTAAAATTCTAACGTATGGTGTAAAGTATTGGAAGTTGACGCGATTGTTAAGACGCGAGAACGGGAAATCCCATAATCACTTTATTGCTCGAGACCTCAGGTCAGCTGGTTGCCAAATGTTCACATAACCGAAGTACTCAAGCCGACAGTATGTTAAGGCCGTTGTAGTACTGTCCGTTGCAGCGAACCTGACACTCTCATTTGAGTGGGCAGATTCCAAGGCACACGCCCTGCTTACATGAATTTTCGGTTCTGGTATACCATTCGCTGAGGCACTCGCGTACATTAATCGGGTCGCACGGCGATGAGTGGGGAGAACCGTTTCCGGACTCACAATTGAAGTTCCCGGAGCGACTGTACCCCTCCCTATAACGTGACGAGTGCCAGGTTCGCTGCAACGAACTGTAGTCTTGGAGAATGTGTCGACTACCCCACTACAGTATTCTCGCAATTAGAAAATACCTAGTCTCATCTGCAGGATTAGTGATAGTCATCTCCACCACTGAAGGGCGGTCCCCCCGGCAAGCCGCGAAGTTCGACGGTCGAGCAGTTGTAAGCAATATGATACGCTGTTCAGCGGTGGTAGATATCGGTGAGACAATATTAGTGCAATTATAAAACATTTTTCTAAGAAGTTCTTTCACTCTTCTTCAACCGTGTTAAACCGCGCAATTCGAATGCAAATAATGGGCAAATGGTATCGGAAATAATTGTTAATGATTTGGTATCACAGTGCTCGTATCACGCTATTATCCAGCTACTTACGTTACCAAATATTTTTATTCGATATCAGTTTTCTTATTGCAATTTTTATCGAGTAATTTGGAAGCTCCAGTCATCGGTGACCACTGGCTGTCAACGCGTTAATACTAAAACTACCGAGCAGTTAAATTGACTTTTTGAAATTCCTCTATAGAAACTTCAAGAGTGCATCTATTGAGACTTTCATTGATTTATAATTCAGTTGGCGTACTGTTAAGTCAATTTCATTAATAATTTCTCAGAGAAACATCTGTTGTCTTCATAATAATTTCAAAATGCAGAAATCAGGAATGGACCATTTTCACCCGTGTGGTAGTTTTAGTGTTAATGAAATATTGTAACTATGAAAATTGCTGCTGTGGAACAAACGCTGGTCGCGAACGTGCTAATCGATCTGACTTATCGAGCTTCTTTCCGCGAACGCTGCAATGTGTTCGTTCGTGCGTTTACAAAAGCTTAAAAAGCTCTCCGAGGAAACACGATTGTAAGTGAACCTCTTTGCGAAGCAGATTTCCTAGCCCACAAAAGATGTCGTCTACCACTTATGCAAGTATATACGCGACATATAAATTGATTCCCCTTTCGCGTTTTCCTCGAGCTTTTTGCTGGACCGAAAACAGTAGAATGCAACACAGGTAAATGTAAAATACAAAATGTACAGTAAGCAGCTTGAAAGTCATTCCTAGATAGCGGATTTTTATGTACTTATGGAAAATTTGAAAGCACAAATTGCACGGAATGCTCGGAACATGAGAAAATATATAAAATATTCAAACAGTGTGGTGCTCTTTACCGTATCTGTTATGGCAAATCGGTTTCCACCGTAATTCCATTTTTTTTTAATTACATAGTTGTAATTAAAGCAATAATTTTTTATTCTGTTACCCCATTATCCTATTCACATCTGAGGTTTCCTTATAAAAACATTTAACTTGCGAGCAAGCTGAACTTTTTATTCATTTTCCAATGAATGCGTGGTCTCAGTAATTTTAATTAAAATAAAGTAGGTTTTCTGCAATTAAATGTTTTATGAATTCCGGAAATAGAGATAAATACTTAAAATAATCTGGAGACGGAGAAACTTAAATTTACGAAGAAAAAATATATTCGACGCTTTTGATAACTGAAAATCAGGTAACAAGATTATTGTAATAATATAATATATAAACTTCTTTAGGAAAATTTGTATTATATGCTTATTTCTTGTCTTTGTATCATTTAAATCCTTCTGAGGTATTTCAGGTACATTAATTTTTGCCATGAAATTCAAGAGAACTGAATTATAGTCGAAACATCCCCACATTCCAACAAAAGAGTACTCTATTTTATCTCTATTATCATCTAAAAATATGAAACATACTTATATTGCATACTTTATCAATTTTACGACTTGACTGTATAACTTTCCACAAGAGTATTCTGTCGCAACATTATTGAATACTAATGAGAATTATACTGTTTCCTTGTGAAAATCATAAATTATGATCTTAAAATGGGTCTTCACGCATACGGGTACCATCGACGCTGCGGAACGTAGAATTGTACATATAAACCTCTTTTGTTGGTCCAAAAAACAACTCTGTTATCTATTCTTTCGCTGGCGTGAAAATTATAATTAATTAGCAAATGTAATGTTTTGACGTTTCATTCTGCGTTTTAATTGACATTAGCCGGCAATATTTTATAAGTTTGCAGAAACAAGATATCGATTTATAAAGAAATTGATAATCGTTGTGATTCGTAATGTTAAAGAATTAAAAATAAACGGGTACTTTTACCTGACCGGCAGGTTGTGTTAACATCGATTTAAAAGATAAAGATAACATTCGAAATAGAAGTTTGACAATTTTTACGATTCTATATGAGTTACAAAGATCTGTGATACTCTTAAATATATTCATAGAAAGATGTTAAATTACGCAGAAATATCAGCACTTTAAATAACGGTTATAACACTATCTACTTCAAACATTAATGTCTTCGATAAGGAATAGATAAAACACGATTTATTGGCATGAGCGATCGTTGAAAGAATTTCTAAATACCATCGATCACAAAAGTACACTGCTCCATAAAATTGCAGCACTTCTAAATTGTAATTTAAAAAATTGTCTACCTTTGAGCTCGTGTAACCTTGTAATAAGAAGTCGTACGACATTCTACTTGCTCTCGTTTTAATGTTCTTATAGCGGATGAGAAAGCAAATATACGCAATATAGAAAATGAATTCCATAAATAATTAACAATTAACAAAAAACATTAAAAAATTCTTCTCAAGACTGAATCTATTATAGATTTGAAAGTGACAGTTTCGCCTTTATAACGACCCCCTAAAACTTGATATACGATTTTCTTTCGCCATTTTATTGAAGTTAATGAGTTGATTCATTCGTTGAACTTCAGAAACGAAAAAGTATGTTTACTGTACCACTCGTTACATGAAGCAAAAACATCTTAGGAAAAAGTGGTTTAGGAAAGACGAAAGTGAAAGCTCTACCGTTCAAGATGAACTAGGCACAATATTGTACAACTGTTTATTATCAAATCATAGGAGTTCGAAGTTCAAATTTGCGTAAATTCACGTAAACATTTACCAAATAATTTTAATGAAATTCGATATGCGTCAAATTGACACGCTTCATAAGTCTAGTGTTAAATACCATAAGAAAAATAATAGGAAATCAGGAAAACAAAGAATTAAAAATGAGGAGGAAAACAATCAGAAGGAAAAGAGCAATAACAATGAGAAAGTAAATCAAATAAAGAAAACGAGCACAGACAAGTTATCATTCTGGAATATAGTTAAATAAGGGAAAAGGACAAAAAGTTATAGCAATGAATACTATAAGAAAAATGAAAGAAGAGCTTGAACAAAAATATTTATATTACAAACTTATGTAACAAGTCAACACGTAGAAAAATTCCAACAAGGAAATGGTGGATAACGCGTCGAAAATATTTCCTCTGATGATGTTAATGGTTTCAGCAACTGATAAGAAAATGCCTGGATACAAATATGACATTTTTGCAGTGACAATAACAGCACGCAACGAAACGGTGAAAAGACGAGCACGAGAGCCGTCGGGAAAGCTGTTTCAAGTCCTATGCAAACAACTGGCACCGCGACCGATGTAATTTTCCGTTTTACAAGCTCCCGACGATCCACGATCGCTGGAAATCAATTTTTGTCGTCCGTTCTCCATCACTGGATCGTGGGAAACAGAAATACATGTATTTACGAACCATTCCCCGCGAACATTGCGCTGAACTTTATGTTTATAATCGACGATGAAATGCACTTCGCGAACAGGACAGCCCATTTCTCTATCGAATTTTAACTGCGGTGAAATGCGAATGCTCTCGTTGTTCCGAGTATGTACGTGTAAATAAGTTTGGCAGGGCGAATAAAGCTTCATTCACACTAACGGTTAACGGTACGGTCAGATCACGATCAGTCACGATCGAGGATTTTACCGAGGCGTGATTGAATGTGAGAAATTCACGTTCAACAAACGGAAACGATTGAATCGTGTGTGTAAGTTTAAGACAACGCAGTGAAACTTTAACATTAATATGTTACGGACGATTGACGAGTGATCTCCGGTTTTTTCAACAGCTTTGATACGTACAAATTTCTACATAAATCACATTTGGAAATTAATGTAATTTTGAAACATTTCTTAAAATTAATTAACATGGCAATATTTTTTAACTATATAGCAATAAGTAAGTTAAAAATACTTAAACTAAACGAGTTAGATGACTACTACAGTAATGCGTAGGTAAGCAAGAAGTTCATCGCAATGTGTAAACAAAAAATTTATTACGTTAAATGGTTAACAGATAAAAACATGTGAGTATCTGGTGACGCTCGCTGAAGATTTACTGTGGAGTACGTTTACACTGTTTTACTTTTTAATGTTAAATATAATGTTGGATATAAAAGCATAAAAACGTATACAAATATTTTATACATTATTTTTGCTTCTAAAGTTTGAGTGTATAAATCTTTTTATCCCTGAATGCATTTTGCAGAAGAGATGTCTTTTGATCGTTTACATTTTGAATTATCTAGAAATTGATGGATGATTGATATAACAACTGTAATATGTAATTAGGAAATAACAATAAATAGAACAGTGATTGTAATTCATTTCATTTGTTCTATTTACTCTATGCGTCTCTCCTTTAACCTTTGAAAGACCAACTAACTGCATCACGAAGAACCGATACCGGGTCGATTCTAACTGTAATCCAATTTTTCGTCGTCGAATCATCAGATCTGATTTCTAAGGCTAAGTAACAATAAACTTTTACTTCTTTCTTCTGCGTGTTTTGAAAACATCATTTCATATTTATATATTATAATACAATTTCATGTAAACTCCTTATATCGGTGTAATTAATAGAAAATCATTTGATTTTAATTAACTTCTTCATTTGTAGAAATTGAATTGTCATTTTATTATTTTCTCCGTTTATTGTGTGCCACTTTATTTGACAAATACTCTAACATTCCCAATCCATTTTT